ATCGCTGGAGTGAGGGGTGGGGCCACGGCCCTTCACAGCCCGCGATTACGGTTCAGACATTCGCAGAGCTGGATCAGTGCAAGACAGCAGCTTCGAGCAGTTTTACCCTCTCTGCACTAAGCGTCTGCATTAGTGCCATGGTGCCGGGGGCTGGAATCTGGGCAAACCCCCCTCGTAGAAAAGGCCTTAAAAGCCAGCTTTGATTCTATTTTCGGATTTTCTATAGCCGCAGAATCTGAGCCCTAGAGGCTCAATCCACGAGAACTATTAAATCAGAAACTGCCCCTCCTCGTTAGTCTCAGCAGAGGCCAAGGGATGAATGGGGCATAAACCTCTCATCCTTCCAGGAGCTCAAGTCCTTCCAGGTCAGGACGGTTAGCGGGGGAGGGAAGGGGAGGGCACGATCTATCGCTATTCTGTGGATAAATACAGAACTTCGCTCTCAGGGGCGGAGAGCTCACAATAGCCTCTGTTTGGGAGTCAATCCCCCCAGACTGCATTTCTCATCCTTGCAGCCTACTAAAAGAAACCCTTTAGCACTGAAAAGCATTCGCATGACAACAGGATCTTTGTTTCCACAGAGTTCACCAGCTCCTGACTTCTCATCAGCCCACTAGACGTGGTTAGTTTTTGCAAAAATCGCAATCGGTTGCCTTGAAAACAACCGACGGCACAACCGTACGTTTGCAATTCGGAGAGGGGTGGGAGAAAACGGGACGAATTGGCAGATGAGCCGGGGAGAAGCGAGAGATCTTGTTCTATGCGGACGACCCTGGTAATAAAACGATAGCAAACGGATGAGAACGCAGAAGAGGGGATCTCTGGGTAGAACTTTCTCTGGGAGGGATCAGTAAAGGATTTTAAGATCTAGTGCCTTGTCTAGATTAGGGAAACTTGCAGTGCTGTTAACTACAGCAGTGTGCAAACTTCTAATGTGTGTCCATTGCAGCAGTGCAAAAATGTGGCAGGCACTAACTAATGTGACAGGCCCTGGTGCAAATTCCAGTTTGCACCAGGGTAGGGTGTCTGCACTAGAGGTTTTCACCAGTGCAACTGTATCAATGTTATGACACTGGTGCAATTTTCCCGGGCAGCCAAATACTAGGACTTTGTCTGTGGCTTTTTAACAGTGCATGAGAATTGTGCGCTCACAAAAGATGCCAGTCTGACAACCAAAGAGACTCAAGTTCTGCATGTCTTGAGCAGGGACCAGACAAACTTTCCCCCCGGCTGCCCTCCCAATGTGCCTCACCCCGACATGGGGGGGACCGGCCCTCTCTCGGGATGAGGATGGAGCTCAGTGGATGACTGTGCACGACTTGACTTCTCTGCGGAGGCTGCCAAGAAGTGAGGGCGGTTCCACCGGGACCCTGACACAGCCCGCAAATCATTTCCCTCTGCGCTGAACAGCCTTCCGCAGGGCAGGCGTTTGGCATCACCAGTGTCTTCATCAATTTTAAATGCGACCGAGTGAAGTAATTAGGCCACATTGATACTGACAAAAGCAGAGCGTTTAACAAAGCCGAAACAAACGAAGCTATGCTTGTCATAACACCTCCCTCCTCCACAGACCTCAAAGCACTTGACAAAGGTGGAGAAGGACCACGAGTCCTATTTTTAAAAGCAGGGGAAACTGAGGCACGGGAAACGTTCCCTAAACACTCAAGGTCGCACCATAAATAAATGGCCGAGCTGGGACATAGAACCCGAGTCTCCTGAATCGGACTGAAGCCGCATCTGCTCCACAGAGTCACTAACGCCGCAAGGAATGCAGAGTTTGTGTGCAGCAGACAGGTGGGGCTTTGCAACGGAGCCTTTCCTGGAACGCAAGGTTGGGGCTGCTGGACCAGGGAAAACCAAGGGCAGCTGAACAGTGACGCCCTCCCGACCGGCGGGCACTAGCACCGCAGCTCTTCAACAGCCTCCTGCAAATCCACAGCCTCACACCAGCTCCGAGGGGGCAGCAAATAAGTACCATTCCCATTTTATAACAGGAGAAGCCAAGGCAGGGCGTTTGTGGCTTGGAGCAGGTCACTCAGAGGGAGAAATGTCAGAGCTAGGGTCAGTACCCGTTTCCAGCCTCCTAGTTCTGTGCTTCGACCACAGGGCTACCCCCATGTATCAGTCAGGACAGGCATTTGGGATCATCTTGCCTTCTAACGGCTAGAGGACTTGCCAAGAATCCTAACGCTGCTGTGGGCTTGGGGATAAATGGCCCCGAGTCCCCCTCTCTGGTTAGCTGCTGACCCCGGCTCTAGGGAGAGAGTATACAGTGACAGGTTGTTCCCGCACAGCCGTGCTGGTGGGGGGCACGGACCAGAGACAGAACAACCCCCTCCCCGAGGGAAGGCAGACGAGGGATGGGCAGCTGCACCACACGAAGGATCGCTCCGGTCATTCGAATCTGGAGGCCCAGGCCCCTTTTCAGACAGTCCCTTGCTGGGGTGCAGTCCTGGCCCTTTAAGAGTCATCCTAGAGAATCCACCCCGCAGGCAGCTCCCTGAGTTGCTGTTTGAAAGGTAAGAGGAGAGAAGGGGCAGAGGAAATTTAAAGGGCCAGGCCTGTCGTTTTAACGCAGTCTTCTCCTCCTCCCCCCAATGCTTTCATAGAATATCAGGGTTGGAAGGGACCTCAGGAGGTCATCTAGTCCAACCCCCTGCTCAAAGCAGGACCAATCCCCAGACAGATTTTTGCCCCAGTTCCCTAAATGGCCCCCTCAAGGACTGATCGCACAACCCTGGGTTTAGCAGGCCAATGCTCAAACCACTGAGCTATCCCTCCCCGCTTTGCAAGGGTGAGCATGGGCAACAAGGATCCATGCTCAGAAGGGGGGGGATTTCTCCCCCCATCTCCTACACCCCACTTTCCCCCTCCCCTCTCCATTCACCCTTCCCGCCCCCTCCCTCCGCCCTCCAGCAAAGCAGGCTATAAATACTCTGCAGGCATCCAGCAGCGGCTGGGGAGGAGGCAGAGGAGGACAACAGCCCGTAGGTGTCAGTCCAGAAAGAGGCCTCATCTCTCAGGCCGCTGGTAAAGCGGGGAACAGCTTTTCGAATCACCAGCTAAGAATCCCAGCCAACACGTGGCAAGAAAGATGCTTCCTCGTAGCAGCAGCATATGCAGGCATCAGACAAAGGCCGTTTCCCACAGCAGCAGTCACAGCCCATCTGGCTCCATTCGCCGGGCAATTAGCTGAAGTTCTGCAGCGTGTCCGGCCCACACGCCCCTTTAATGATAAACACGGCCCCTTCCCAGCACTGCTTCGGGGCCGAGGCAGGGCTCGGGACAGAGAAGCTGCCAAACGGCTTTTCCCCCTGAATGCAGGGGGTTGTTTATTTCAAGGGGTGAATGTTCCCCCATTCTCCCCAGGGAGGGTGGGTTTGGCCCATCTGCCGTGTGCGTCCTGCACGAACGGGATGCTCGCAAAGATTATGGGAGCAGGGTCGGTAGGGGTCGCTTCTCTGCAGATCTTCACCCCCCTGCCACGAGGAGCTACCGATATGCTGATCCTCATGCAAAATCTGCCTCATTTCCGACACACGTCCTGGTGATAGCATGGGTGGGAGGCGGAGGCGGAGAAGGCAAACTCCTCTCCAGCCTGCAGCTACACTGGTAAGATAACCTGGCCCCCCCGTGCCCCACTGCCGGCCCCGCTGGAGGGGTTTGACTCAGGCAGCGTCTGGCCATTGTACAAAGCAGTGTTGGTTCAAGCACAGCAGCTAGCTCAACTGTAGGAGGCGCTATCGGACCCGTTAATCCACACAGGGGAACAGGATCAGGGGCATGCGCAAGGGGTGGGGGGCAAGCAGGGGCACAGGGCCCCCCCCAATCATTGGGAGCACAGAACTCCTCTGGGGCCAGGGCAGGGACAGCGAGCTCCTCTGACGAGAGATGACAGCTCCACCAGCCCCGGGGTGAACCAGCTCCTCTGACCACGCGGGGGGCAGCAGCTAGTTTCTCCAGCTGCGGGGGGGGGGGGGGGGGGGGCCACAGAAAATGCCCCTCCAAAAGCAGCCAAATTTTGATTCTTGTGCACGCCCCCGGACAGGATGGAGGAGAGTTTGGAATGGGAACCGACCATGAGGAGAAAGGGAAGTGGAGAGGAGGCGTAAAGCAGAAAGGGTCTAGAGTGCAACAAACTGGTGTGTGCACACCACTGCTCCCTAGTGGTTAGTATCAGAACTGCTCAACTGTGGGTCATAAGCCCCTACACGGCTAACAGGAGGATCAGGGTTCAGGCACAGCATAGCAACAACCGTGACGTTCCCGTGGGGCCATGGGTTCCTGGCAATAAACATGGGAGGGAAAGGAAAATCTGAAGCCGAGAGGAAAATCCAGCCAGCCCGCTCAGAACAGCGCCCCCTGCTGCTCGTAGGCAGGAAGTGCTCTCTCCAGAGAGAGACGATGGATGTCTTGGGAGTGGCATGAACACCGCGGAAGCTCTACTCCCCGATCAGGGCGGGGGAGAACACGTTCTTGGCACTAAATGGTCTCAGGGCTGATTTTCTTTGCTGGTTCGCGGGGAGGAAGAACAGGTCTTTCCCCAAAGATTGGCTTTGCAGACCTCAGCAAACTCACCTCCTCCCCACGGCATCGTCATGCCCACCTCGCGGCTATGACGAAGCCAGGCCTGACCCCTGCAGCTGGACCCCATGGGTGATAAAGCACCTCCCTCACCCCAGACACAAGGGGACCCCCAGCCTGCACACTGGGATGAAGAGGCTGGAGGGGGTCACCAAACCCACACCTCCCTGAGAAGAGCTGGCTCCTGGCCGCCTGGGCCCTGGCAGCAATTCTTACTGTCACAACACGTCGCCAAGACGACGTCCAGCCTCCCGAGGGTCAAGCTCTTTCCATGGAGATGCTCCCCCACTCCTCACGGCCTCTCTACCACCCCAAGCACGTAGGGAGCGGCCTTCCCCACATACCCACCAGCCCTGGGGCTGATCCTCAGTGGGCTGCCCCCTAACAAACAGCTCAGCCCTCCCCCGCTCCCCTACCTGGCAGGACGAAGGTGGTCCGCGTTGCTATGTTAATCTCCTGCAGATGCTCCAGGGTCTCGGTGTGAAAGAGGCGAATGGAGGACCCCGAGGAGAAGGCCATCCAGACGCCGCTGCCCGCCTTGATCATGTGCGTCACACTGGCTTCCTCGTCCGGGTGGGCCTCAAAGGTTTGCTGCGGGGAGAGGACGAAAGAGGAGGGTTCAGAGGGGGCGTCACCGCAGAGCACGTTATCACAGGGCAGGTGCTGAAGGGCCCGTAACGCAGGGTGCAAGGAGGGAGCTCCGGCACCAAAACCAGATGCGGCGTCTACCTCAATGGTCCCCTAGGGCAGCAGGGGCTCGGAGCAGCCATGGAAGTTGGGCGATCCCAGCTCCTGCCTCCTGGGGAGCACCACAAAAGTGTCACAGAGGCTGCTTTGCGCAGGCCCTATCCATGCCGAGTCTGGCCCGGCTGGCTCTAAAGACAGTAGGTGCCTGCACCCTGCACGGTGGGAACTCCTGGAGCCAGTAAGTGGGGTCTCTTTGCTGGGTGGACAGGACTGTCCACGCCCATTCATATTGCGCAGCTGCTTTCGCCAGTCCTGCCAGTTCTGCACGGTAGGACATCCCAGAATGCATTGCCCTAGGCGCTGCTGGTTCCACGCCGAGCGATCGATCCCCTACTGAGGCACTGGGGCAGGGGTAGGCAACCTATGGCACGCGCGCCAAAGGCGGCACACGAGCTGATTTTCAGTGGCACTCACACTGCCCGGGTCCTGGCCACCGGTCCGGGGGGGCTCTGCATTTTAATTTAATTTTAAATTAAGCTTCTTAAACATTTTAAAAACCTTATTTACTTTACATACAATAGTTTAGTTATATATTATAGACTTCTAGAAAGAGACCTTCTAAAAACATTAACATGTATTACCGGCACGCGAAACCTTAAATTAGAGTGAATAAATGAAGACTCGGCACACCACTTCTGAAAGGTTGCCGACCCCTGGAATACCTGGCCCCAATTTCCCACAATGCACTGGAGCAAACCTGGTTAGGCAGCATGGTCATGGAAACCAACATGGCTGCCGTAGCACAACACTGCACGCACCAACGGAACTGGGTGCAGTGCTGGCGTGGCCCACCGCAGTCACTGGGCTAGTAACTGGTTACAAAAATCACAGGCAAATGTTTGGATGTGAATGGAGCCCTGGGCTGGGACTCAGATACGCAGATTCTATTCCCGGCTCTGTCCCTGACCTGCTGGGTGACCTGGGGCAAGACACTTCACCTCCCCGTACCTCAGTTTTCCCATCTGTAAAATGGGGTTAATGATCCCACGCTCCTTTGCAAAGCACTTTGAGAGCTTCTGAAGGGAAGTGCTAAATAAGAGCTCGGGATTATTATTAATTGGAGGTGGGGCATGTCCCATATGCCTGCAAAGCAGAGGGACAACAATAGGGGATCCCCAAATTATGGATAGGATCAATCCCCCATGGGGTAGGGGAAGGAATGTCTAGTTGCTACAGGCATGAGAGCAGAGACCAGTCAGTATGACCAGGGGAAAGCAGGGCTAAGAGAGAAGTCCTCGGGTGCAGCAGAAGCACTTCAGAGCAGGGGAATGGTCTGGGCTGGTTTCTAGTTAGCCAGGACTTGATTTTAACAGCCCCCACCAATCACAGTGCATGCAGGCAGCACTGTTCCCTGCACTGCCCATAGGGCGCAGGAATTAACAGCCTCTGCTCCCATCTTCCTGCGACGCGATCCTAGCAGAACCGCCCTGTGAGTGCAAGCGAAACAGTGCTCCTTCCGCCAGCGCCCCCCATTCCACCCGGCTGCCGGCCACGCACAAAACCACGACCAAGCAGCCCAGCCTGGCCCGCTGCCCATCCTAGAGACGGCCCCTGCACCCGACTCCTGGATCCAAACACTCCTGCACTTGGAGGAGGGGAACTGAAAAGCAAACCTGGGGCTCAATTTTGCAAACCTGTGTAAACGGTGCGAACCAGAATCTCCCATTCGCACACCCTGAGCTTGTTGCAGATGCTCCAGAGGTGGAGGCGCTGCCTGCCTGGTTAACCAGGGAATCACATGGGCCTTTGGATGTTGCGATAGGAGCGGTTCAGAGCTCTTCCACCCCCTGCCCTGAATCCACGCCACGCGAGGCCCCATTACTTGCTAGGACTGCCTCCCACCCTGAGCAACCAGCATCCTGCTGAGGCCAGCGTCCCCAAGAACAACAGGCTAGAGACTTCCCTGTCCATTCCCAAGACTGAGGTCTCTCCCCGCCCTGGGAGCCGGCTAGTGAGCTGAGCGCTCGCCGTCTGCTGGCAGGAAAGACTGGCGCTCGGCCCTGCCCTGAGGCTCCCAGAGGGGGGAGGGATAGCTCAGTGGTTTGAGCATTGGCCTGCTAAACCCAGGGTTGTGAGCTCAATCCTTGAGGGGGCCATTTAGGGATCTGGGGCAAAAATCTGTCTGGGGATTGGTCCTGCTTTGAGCAGGGGGTTGGACTAGATACCTCCTGAGGTCCCTTCCAACCCTGAAATTCTATGATTCTATGACGCAGCTCCAACGCTTGCTAAGGGGAACTGGATAAGCGATGTGCCTGGGGGGTGGGTTTTTCACACCCCTACGTGACGTAAGAACAGCCATATTGGGTCAGACCAAAAGGTCCATCAAGCCAACCATTCTGTCCTCTGACCGTGGCCAGTGGCAGGTGCCCCAGAGGGAATGAACAGACCAGGAATAATCAAGTCATCCATCCCCTGTCACCGAATCCCAGCTTCTGGCAAACAGAGGCTAGGATCACCATCCCTGCCCATCCTGGCTAATAGCCATTGATGTAGTTGTATCAACCTAATTTCCTAGTGCAGGCCAGGCCTGCGGTCGTGTGGACAGCCCCTGAATGGACACGAGAATGGGACGGTCAGGAGATGGGGCCTAGATCCAAAAAATGGGGTTGAGCATTTTTACACCAGTGCAGTGACTGCACTAGGGCGAGAGGTTTGCACCGGTGTAACTACGCCGGTGCAAACACGCCCAGCGCAGGCAAGTTCTTCATTCTTCTTCCCTGCCTCTGCGCAGACTTTCTCCAAGCACAGGGAATAGCTTGTTAGCTTGGGCTTCCTCTAGTGACCGGCTCTGCAGCTGCAGAAATGGGCCATGGGGGTCACCTAGCGAGACCCTCATCTCTGACAGCCCACTTCCCGCTGCAATCATCTTCCGCACGGGCAGCTGGTCTGTCGAGCGGCATCGAAGCCGGCTGCAACCTCCCCAGTTACCACTAAGGGAGAGAGAGGGTGCCAGGAGGGAAACACCAGTAGCAAGACGGTGACGCTGCTTTAGCACCTACCATCTGACTCACCCGAGGTTCCATTCAACCGCCTGTAGGTACCCAAGTTGGTTCCACCCTGGGGCATTTCAAGCCGCGAAGGGAGCGGCTTTCTCAGCATCACCCCCGTGACCTGGATGGAAACTATGAGCAAAGATCGGCTCATATTCCCCCCTCCTCCCCACACCGGAGGCCTGAATAGCTTCGACCCAGCCCAGCTTGAGAGGCAACAGCACCAACAATCTCAGCCCAGACCCTGGCTGTCAGAATTCAGTTAAAATAAAGATTCAGTGCAGGAAATGGATTCACGTTACAATTCCAGAGAAACCAGTCTAGCTGGGACCCCTCTGGGCTCTTTTAAAAAGCTTCAGCAGAGCGACTGAACCTTACAGTGCTTTAAAAACCACTCTGCCCCCAGCTGCAGGTCTTCACAATTTATATTCGAGAAGAACATAACTTACTGACCATCATGGTTTAAGTTACTCGCCCTCACCCCCTCCCACGGCCTGGGTCCCCCCTAACCCGCTCATTCTTCTATTACAGTAGAGAAGGGAACGCCCTTGCTCGCAAGAGGATGCTGCCTCCCGGAGGACAGGGGCTGGCAGGCTGCAGGCGGGAGAAGACGAGGCGAATCGGAGTCACTTCCAAGAAGATAAATATTCCAGTGAACTAGAAACAGGGCCGAGCAGGGTCACGAGCGGGCTCTAAAGCAGCGCCCGGTGGAATTAGGAACAAGAGAGCGCTGCGGCGATGAGGACAGGCTACCAGAAACAAACTCAGGGAGACCGTTTAATAGGCTCCAGTGGGACCTGGAGCTAGAGAAAGGACAGATTTAAGAGCTCTCAAGCCCGGCATCCCGATGGTGCAGGCTGTCAGCTTGCTAGGAAGTTCACGGGTTACCCCGATTTTCTTGCTTGGCATGAGCTACGCTCTTTTTTTAAATGCGCCCATCACAGCAGTGGCTGCCCAGCAGGTGACGAGGTCACTGCCTCTATTTCTAAGCTCTCTGATTTAGAACCTGCACACTGGAGTTTTAGGATCCAGTGCCCCAAACCCGAGAGTCAGCCAGCAAGATTTTGCTTCTCCGAAGTCAGCAAAGATGCCTGCAGCACCTTCCTCCAGTGCTTCAGCTCTGCCCCATTTAGTATACCTACACTCGGAGCCGGGAGGGCGATGCCCAGCTCTCACTGAGCTAGTGTGCTAAAAATAGCATGTAGCCGCAGCTGCGCGAGCAACAGGAGAGGGTGAGTACACACCCATGAGACGCTAGCCAGGGGCAGCTGGCCAGTCCCGCAGCTCACGCTGCTGCAGCTACGTGAGCTTGCTCAGAGCCAGCATGGGTAAGCTCCTGGAAGCTGGGAATCGCCCGCCAGCTCCAAGCATAGACAAACCCCGCGTCCTTTCAGGGGGACTATCGGCAGGGACCACACTTCACCGGGGTGCTGCACAGACACAAGTGGCTCACCACCAACACCCCTTCGCAGGGAAGCCACTGCCCATTCAATCAACCTTCTGACAATTTCTCTGGTCAACCCCGAAGAGATTTGCCGTTCAGATTTCAGTGCTGTGCTGCTGTCTCGCTGTCTAAGGGTTTTATACTGCTGTTCATTACCCCAGCCTTTGAGTGCCTTCAGCATAAAATCCACAGCAACAGTGGATTTTATGTCCCTAGTGGATTTTACGGACTCTCAAAAACCTCCATTCCCACCTAGTGTAGATCACCCATGCCCATACCCTCCCCGTACTCTGCATACAGGCACTCCGCCTCCTTTAGTCTAACCTGGCAGGAGTGCAACCCAGGGAAGGGGTGGGAATGATTTTGTCTAGAACGAACACTGACTCATTTCCAGGCCTGGTGGCAATTGA